AATACATACTTACCAAGTGCAAACTGAAAACGAAGAAGCATGGGGTTACATGAAAAAACAAAGACTTTCTTCAACAACAGATGGCTGGTTTTTGTAGCTTCAATGTGGGTTCAATCTTGCTCGGGACTTGGGTACTTGTTCGGCAGCATATCGCCGGTGATAAAGAAATCCATGGGTTACAATCAGCGGCAGATTGCCATGTTGGGTGTGGCTAAAGATATCGGTGATGCAATCGGATTCATTCCTGGTAGTTTATGCGAAATTGCTCCCATTTGGGTGGTTCTTTTCATTGGAGCTGTTCAAAACTTCGTCGGATATGGTCTGGTTTGGCTCACCACCACACACACCTTGCCGGAATTGCCTCTGTGGGTGGTCAGTTTCTCACTTTCTCTAACCCTCTTTCCCCTTCACTCATCTGATCATCGATTTAATTCACTATAAGCGTTTGCATATATATACTTTCAGCTATGTGTTTGTATATTCGTCGGAACAAACGGCGAAACCTACTTCAATACCGGAGCTTTAGTCTCCGGAGTTCAGAACTTCCCTAAAAATCGTGGTCCAGTCGTCGGAATATCAAAGGGTTTTGCTGGGTTAAGTGGTGCGATTTTGACACAAGTTTATACAATCTTCAATTTTCCCGATCAATCCTACATCATTTTCTTGGTTGCAGTGGGGCCCACTATCGTTGTATTATCGGTAATGTTCATGGTTAGACCTGTCGGAGGCCATAGACAAGGTCGAGAATCCGATGACACAAGCTTTGTATTTCTTTACAGTGTTTGCCTTATTCTCGCGGCTTATCTCCTCGGAGTTTTGATTTTACAAGATCTGATCGTTCTGAACCAGACAACCGTGACTTTGCTCACCGTTGGGCTGTTGATCCTCGTATTGCTTCCGATTGCAATTCCCGTTTATTTGGTTTTTTTCTCAGAGAATCTACCGGAGGAAAGGCTACTGCTTAACGAGGATGAAAAGAAAGATGGAAATGAAATGATAATGAGTGAGATGGAAGATGAGAAGACATCGGAAGTAGACTTGCTTTCTGCTTACGAAAGGCAAAAGAGAATCTCTCATTTGCAGGCGAGACTGGTGCAGGCGGCGGCGGATGGAGCTGTGAGGGTGAAGCGGCGGAAGAAGGGTCCACGACGAGGGGAGGATTTTACGTTAATGCAGGCGTTGGTAAAAGCTGATTTCTTGCTCATGTTTTTTTCGTTAGTGTTGGCTTCAGGATCCGGTTTGACCATAATTGATAACCTTGGTCAAATGTGCCAATCACTTGGGTATGAAAACCCGCATATATTTGTTTCCATAATTAGTATTTGGAACTTTCTTGGTCGCGTTGGTGGTGGATATTTCTCAGAGATAATCGTAAGGTGCGTTTTTTTAATTTTTTTCAAAAACCAACGATGTTACAATTCTATCTGTATAATTTAAAGTTTGTTGATGACTGTAACTTAAAGTAAGTTTATATTACATTTGAGTAACATAAATTTAAACATATTAAATTATATATTGTACTATTAGTATTAGCGTGTTGATAAATCTTTTTGCATGCTAGAAAGTACGCATACCCGAGACCGATTGCAATGGGTGTAGTTCAAGTTGTAATGGCTGGTTCGCTTTTCTACTACGCAATCGGCGCACCCGGTGCTATTTACATTGTTTCGGTGGTGATAGGACTCTGTTATGGAGCCCATTGGGCCATTTTTCCGTCAACTGCCTCTGAATTATTTGGTTTGAAGAGTTTTGGTGCGTTGTATAATTGTCTTGCATTAGCAAGCCCAACAGGTTCCCTAATCTTTTCTGGTGTCATTGCTAGTGGAATTTATGACTATGAAGCAAAGAAGCAAATGACCATAAACCATCGTATTTTTCAAGATAATGAAGAACTTACATGCTATGGCACCATATGTTACTCCATCACTTGTGGGATCTTATCTGCCCTATGTGTAATTGCGGTTGCTTTGAGTATGACGGTAGTTTACAGGACTAAAGGAGTCTACGCTCAACTCTATGGGAACTCACGAACTTAAAAGTTGAGTTGTTTATACTTTATAGATAATTGCTTGAATTATTTTTTTGGAAGATAATATTGCTTGTATTATTGGGATTATTGCTTATCGGACATGATCCGATTGTGAAATATAAGTTAAGAGTATGTAAAGCTATCGATAAAAATGTATATCATTGTATATTTTGTGTTTTTAATGGATAAAAATATGTGTTTACCAGCTAATTTTTGTGGGTATTCAGAAAAAAAAAAAATTAAGATTTTTAATTTGACCTAAGTAGTTCTGCAACAATAACAAAATAATTTCTACCTTATAAATTAGTAAACTTGATTTCTTACGTGGGTATATTTATTCCAATTTGAAATTACTAATTTTTATGATTTATAAACAGCGTAAAACAAAAGCGTCGATATGTCCGAGTGGTTAAGGAGACAGACTTGAAATCTGTTGGGCTTCGCCCGCGCAGGTTCGAACCCTGCTGTCGACGAAAATTTTTATTTTAGTTCTTCTGTTTTTTTATCTTACTAATTATGATTCAAATAAAAGATTAACATTTAAAATATAAAACTACACTTATTTATATAATAATATCTATGTCCCCACCTTTCTCAAATAGCCATACAACTTTGGATAATTTGAAAGTCTTAATCTTTGAAGATAGATGTGACTATGAATAATTAATTTGATGTTTCTTTAGATAATTTAAATGTCTTAATCTTTGAAAATAGATGTGGCTATGAATAATGAATTTGATGTTTCTTTGATGCTGTTGCAATGATTTACAAGTATTACAAAAGAATATGCATCGAGCAAAAACCCGATACAGAGTGATCGATCATCATACAACACATTAATACAATCTTATCTCATTTTTTATACAACTATACAACCGATCTTTGTTTCATATCATTGATTCTCAACGATATATATGCTTCAAGAAAAGTCTGGAAATGTGTTGAAAATAATCTTTAGACACCAGCTCTTCTCAAAAAGGCAACCATGCCTAAACCAGCAACTAACGCAGCTCCAGCTGCAACTGTACTATATGCAGTGGTCCACGCATCTCCTTGAGTAAACTCCATAATACCTCCTTTTGTGGAAGACCCTTTTCTACGTTTAGGTACCCCAGAATAATCTAGATGCAATTTTAAACCCTGTATATGTACACCATTAACAAATGTATTGGACCTCGTTTCATTTTACAGTTTATGATTCTTTTATAACCTCTTGTCTTTCTGGTTGCGTTTGTTACACAAGATACGATTCTCCGGTTTTAGAGTTTTCCATATCATATATATTCATTTTTCTTATTTCTCTATTAGTTGTCATTGAATGGGATGTTGGGAATATTTGAGACCATTTACCAACACAAATTGGGTCATCTTTTCTTCCCTTGAATAACAAATTGGGCCTTGTGTATCATGGTAAAAAATAAAAATGGATCATACCTTCCACCCGGATAATCTTGCATGGTCAACAGCTGCAGCAAGATCAGCATCTGTTACCAATACGATCTTGTCTTGATCTTCGTCTTCATACTAAAAATTGATCATTCGTAAGCAAAAAATATAAAAAAAAAAATTTGAATACAAAAATATATATATATTTAGAACATACCAGAATTTGTGGAAGGTTGTTGCGGTCAATCTCACCACCTACTCTCTGAAGTATCGCAGTTATAAGATCCGCCAAACTTCGAGTATCTAAACCCAAAATAAAAACCGGTTACCTTAAATATATCTTTTAAAAAGAAAAAAAAAAAAAAAAAATTAAGCATACCGCATATAAATCTATGCATCCGACCCCTTTTATCTTGGATCTTGAAACCAAACGTATTGGGTATTGTAGATGAAGGATACGGAAGAGTTTTCATTGTTCCTGCTTCCGAAACCAATCTCACAGAGCTCTCACTGTATCATATCATCGGTTGTATTTAGAATTTTAGATTATAAACCAACATTAAATTAGAGTCACAATAATGTAATTGAAATAAAAATAAAAATAAAATAAAATAATCAAATCCAATAACCTCCTTAGATCATCATCATCGTCTCCCGGACATATTGCCATGGCAGAGTCCCAAAACTTTTGCATCATTGAACTTGCAGTTTCATTGTCTATCCCCGCTGTATTCCCCACCTGTAGATATGACAATCGCAATATACTATATATTCAAAAAACTAAAAGAATTAAATAAAACTCATCCACAATTTCATTGAGGGTATATATGTAATTTATTTACTTACTGTGGCTACCGCAGCATGAGTTATATGAAGTACATCCACAATAGCAACCACAACTCCCTCTACACCAAACCATCTGCTAGTTTTAGATATTATACGTATGAATTGTGTAACATTAACAACTATTTATTTTAATTATTACCTTTATCGACTACAGGAAGATGTAAATATTTCCCATCATGCATGTTATGTAGAGCATTGACAATAGGTGTATCAAGTGTAGCACATTCTGGATTTGGAGTCATTACCTATTTGATAATAAAAAATAAAAAAACATTCGCAGAAAATTATAAGTATTGTGAAGAAAAATGTAGATGATACAAGGACACAGGGGCAATTAGGTAATTTACCTTCTCAACAGAGATGAGTTCGGGGCGAAGATCTTGTGCTATCACTCTCATTAAGATGTCTTTTGATCTAGTGTAAGTACAAAATAGGATGTTATGGTATTGTTTGTTATTTGTTCAAAAAATTTTATATAATTGAGACACTCACGTTAAAATCCCAACTGGTTTTTTATCTATAGTTGCAACAGCAGAGCTCATGCGACACTCGAGCATTTTTTTTGTTGCTGTTACCACTGTGTCAGATGGTGAAACTGTGACAACCCTGGTATTATTTTGTGGAAATCATCGATATATTTCCAATTGAAGAAAAATCCAGTATGAAGAAATTTATTAAAAAAAAAAAAAAAAGAAAGAAATTAAGTAAAGGTATTACCTACTTTGGATTCGCGGAGATTATAGTAGATAAAGATGGTCTGAACATCCGTTCACGTAGTGATTCAACAAACGTGTTGGAACCTGTTTGAATTTAAGTCGCTTTACTTGTAGTTTTTTAAAAATTTATGAATCTTGAAGTGCTTAAGTGAAAAATAAAAATGGACTTTGACTACTAACCAGAAACAGAAGATCCCCAATGCTTCTCGACACCTTCAACAGCAGCTGCTATGGCTTTTCCCTTTTCAGCTGCACGTTCCATACGTGCAATTGCATCATATAAACATTTTTCAATGTCAAGCAAAGCAATAACCTGTCCATGTTCTACAACTGGCAAGTGTCTGAATTTTCCTGTAGTTTTAGAAATTTCAATTAGTAATAAAAAAAAAAAAAAAAACATCGCATTTCACATGATTAATAGTTTAATACTCACCTTGAACCATCTTTTGTAAGGCTTCAACAGCAAGAGTATCGGAAAGTACAAAAAGGGGGTTTTTCGTCATCACTTTTGACACAGGCGTGTTCTCAAAATCAATCTCACGAGCAATTACTCTTGTTGCAATGTCCTTCGGTTGTTATTATAATGGCTGATTAGTGAAAGATAGGAATCCAGATGAATGAAGAAGATTCAAGACAAAATTAACCTTATCTGTTAATATTCCACAAAGTAAAGATCTTGAATCAGTAACCAAAAGTGCATCAACTCTTCTAGAAGCCATTCTACGACATGCTTCATAGATGCTTGTGGTTTCAGGTACTGTCAAGGCCCTTGAGAGACGCAAACGTTTCACTGTACGCTCTCCCGTTAGTCCCCTATACAGATTTTTCGAACCGTATCTCAAAATTTTTGTGGCGTATTAGAATTGAAATTTGAAGTATAAGTTAAGTTGATTAAAAGGCGTTCTATGATGCTCAGTTGTTCATTTGTTCGTATGCATGTAGATGAAGAACTGGAGAATCTAAATGAGTCGAGATACAACGGAATCAAAAACACATACATGGAACGAGAAGCAACAAGGGATCTGCGATCAGGGGTTCCCCTTTCAGAACCATTCCTCCTTTGAGACGACGAAGTTGTTAACGCCATGCTTCTTCGTGAAGAAGAACCTGCATGACTAGTCGTCATCTTCACCACCGGTAGGTGTCAATCAGGATTCCTTACCTTAACCTACATGAAATCGCATGAATCAATCAATTTGGGGAACATGACACGATGAGATTACTACAACAATATCGTACTCCGTTAATAACATCAAAAGAAAGAACACCTACACAATTAATTAACCTGATACCGGTTATCGCTCACACATAAACAAGATTTAGGACAATTGATTGGAAGGTATTCATGAATTCTCCATGAATTATGTGCAGATCCTTGTTCCAATTTCAGAGGAGGAAATGAGGCGCTTTTTTATCTCTAGAAAACATACAAATAATTCTATAAAATCACGTTAAAATAGTCATTAACTCATTTTCATTATGTTATATTTTTATATTTTTATTTGGGAAATTGAGGAAACTTTTATAACATTTTAAGGAAATAACCAATTTGTATATTTTTTGTAAAATAACAATGTACTTCATAATGGATATTTTGGAGCAGTAGAAAAAGGGTCAAACCCAATATAAATGATGGGTGTTTATTGATGCTTAACGAATCAAAACTGTATTTGGGAAGATTAATCAAAGTGATCGGTTTGCAAATTTATTGAACCTAAACCTAAACCGAAATTACCAGTTAACCCATTTTGGTTAACCTATTTTTTAGGTTCAGATATTAGTTAACCAATTAACCCGTATTAATAAATAAATGCGTTCCATACCTAAAAAACTTCATAACGAATTTCCAAAAAATAAATAATCTTTCGTGATATCAAATA